GTCTGCATGTTGCTTACATAATTATTTTAATCAATTCCAGCTGTTTAAATCTTTTGTGTATCCTTTAATCTCCTCTGTTGAAATCTTTTTATTTTGGAGCTTTTTAAAAATGAGGGCTTCCTATTTTGTATATGATTTTAGTAGAGCCATGACAAGTGAAATTGTGAATTATTACTTTTTTCTCCACATGCATGCAAATCAAAATCACATTGGTGGTTCTGGTAGGACATTGAATTATGCATCTAATACAACCATTATCCTTCAACTGCTTTTGGCATTGCTAATTTCCAAGCATCTCTTTTCCATTAAAGCCTGTGGTTGTCTTTCATTTTATTTCAGTCACATTATTGCAGCTTTATACTTTGCACAGCAAACACAATAGCATTTATTTTTTATTACTTTCATTTATATTTTGCCTTTCTTTCAGTGAGCTCAAGGTGGTTGTATCCATTTAGTTTCATAGCTCTGTGGGGGATAGAAACTAGATCATGCAGCTCCCAACACACTATTCACTAAACCACACTGCCTTTAATGGGTTTACATCCGTAGTTTCCACAGCAAATGGATCAAGTGTAGAAGTGTTGTTCCTGTTGTTGTTTCTGTGTTCTTTCAGGTCATTTATAACTCATCATGGGGTTTTCATGGTGTGTTTCTTTAAAGGGGGCTTGCCATTGCCATACTTGTGCATATGTGTGTGTATCTTTAAACAGTTGTGTACATCATATTGCAAACCTGTTGTTGCTGTGTGCCTTCAAGTCATTTCTAACACTTATGGCACCCCTAACATGGGGGTTTCTTGGCAAGGTTTGTTCAAATCAAAGGGAGTTTGTTTGCCTTTGCCTTTTACTGAGGCTGAGAGAATGTGACTTGCCTAAGGTCACCCAGTGGGCTTCCATGGCGAAGTGGAAATTCAAACCCTGGTCTCCCAGGGTCCTAGTCCAACATTCAAATCACTGCACCATGTCATTGCAAACCTGACTAGGTCAAACATTCCACATGCAGAGTGACACCAGTTTACAGATGGGTGCATGTATATTCCTGAAGTTACAAAAGGACGAGAATAAATTGACTTGACTTCCTTTTCTGCTCTTACTATGAGTTTGATTTCCAGACTTCATGGTGTGATGATAAATGCTATTATATGTTTGTGCACTGGATCCAGATTTAAGTACATGCAACTAGGCTTGTGGAATGTAGACTTCCCTGCCTCTCTTGTCCTTGGCAAACTCTCCAGCAAACTTTCTAGCCCCTATGAAAATGCCACACAAAGAGTTTGGAGACTCCACTGAATAAGGTGAGTTCTGGCACAGGTGAGGGATCCTCCAAAATTGGGCAGAGGAACCTTCTGTAAACAGAACCTTTGCGTCCATATAAGGCAGATCCTAGATATAACCCAGTGTCTTTGTGTCAGGCTGTTAAATCACAGCTATAGTGACTGGTTTAAAAACTGGCCACTACATATATTTTATTTTGAACTGATTAGCTTCAGAAAAGATGCAGATACTGCTTCTCTTTTTTACTACAACAATTGCAATACACATTGCTGAGTATATTGCCATTGGGCTTCCCAGGTGCCTATACATAAGTGTTTTAAAAGGTATTTAAATTATACAGATATCTTGCCTGAGCTTTCAGTATTTGCTGTGGTCTTGAGATAGAATTAGCTGTGATATGAGTGATCTGTGCTTAATATCTCCTATTTGATAAAGATATAGATGAACCCAGCAGCTGCAGGAGGTACAAATCTGCTTGGTTTTGTGTTATCAGCAAAGGGCATTAACCCTTTTATCACATA